AATTATTGTGGATGAGTTAATAGAAAGAAATAAATTAATTGAAGGTAAAAAGAAAATAGAACAAAACTTACATATAACAGATGAAGAAAGTACATTTTTCCCGATCCTCACAACAAACAACTGAATTGAATCATCGAGTCAACGAATTACACACCAAACAAAATGTATATAATTTGATTTAATCAATAGAATAGAATGAAACGAAAGCAGCAGATAGAGATGGATATAATAATTGATTGAATGAATATTTAGACTTGGAATGGCCATGGCCAGTCCTTCAAGTCCTCCTCTTGTTGCACCTTGGAACTCCTCATAGCAGGAGAAGCAGTAGTAGTGCCTTGGACAGAGGCATAGTACTTGAGGAAAAAGGCGAGGGTCAAGACCACCCACTCCAAGCAAAAGATGACGACACTGAGGCCTCCAGCCAATTTGAGTATCACAGCGCCGTCCTCATCCCTCACGTACGACCTCAGCTCCCCAAGAAAGTCACCCGTTCTCGTGAAGATGAGCACTGACACTGACCCCTGAAATATTGCTGTCAGCACTGTGGCCACCATATGGGCTCCATACCACTTGCCCGACGTCGTCCCCGCGGAGGCTGCCGCGCATCCAGATATGGCCCCCCCAATTGTGAATATGTGGAGGAGGATGAGGAAGAAGCCGCACACTGAGGGGAGCAGCCGCAGAGACAGCGTGAGGAAGATGCAGCTGGAGGCCGCGCCTAGCAAAATGTAGTTGCACAACAGGAACACCTTATGGGTGTGGTACTGGGAACCAGACCTTGCTCCTCCTGCGCCGTTGGAAATATTCATCGACAGACCACCCATTTTTATACTCTACTTGAGATCCTTACTTTCCTCTGCTTCAACTACTAAATTTACCTTTAGTACTCTACTGGGATTTGGAAGCTCTGATCAGAAATTAAAATGGTGGCTTTTGGAATTTGCAGGTATGTGTGAACCTGATTTTGAGAGAGAGAGAGAGAGAGAGAGAGAGAGAGAGAGGAATGTGATTCAGATTGTGGGTGAAGATACATGTATATATAGATATATAAATATGAAGGAGTGTAGTACTCAAAAGGGCAGCGAGGCCTTAGGCCGAACGGTCATTTTTCCTTTTGCTGTAAAGTGTGTGCTGTGTGAGGGTCAGAATATGACCGTTAGAGTTGGGACCCAACCCCAACCCCACATTAGCATATAAATAGCAAGCTGTTGTAACGGCTAGTTAATTAATTTTGCTTTTAGTAATTAATTAGGACAAGTCACCCACTCACAGTCCCAGTAGGAGGAGGAGGAGCGAGTGCTTTCCGTTTTCTTATTTCTTTTTCTTTTGGTTGGTGGCATACATTTGATTTTAAAAAAATTTGAATTTTGTTGGTGGCATACATTTGATTTGAGTTGAGGCCAATGCCCCAACCAAACGAACAAACTGAACAGGGCCTATTCACTAAATTAAAGCCCAAATCAAGTGAAAGACAAAAACAGCTTCACGCACGCTCCTCCCTATTACTATTAGATCTGATCTGGCCCAAACCAAGGTCTAAAATATCGAGAGTTTCGGAAACATTGGTGGTCCAAAAACACGGATATATCAATAGAAATATTGAGAAAATATCGATATCGATAAAAATTGAATAAAAATCACGGAAATTGTGAGAAAAACTTTGAAATTTTTATTGAAACTTTAGAGGATGTTTATTTAGTCAATTGTCTATTATTTTATCACAAAAAATGAAATAAAATGCATGTCATGGTGGGTTTGAATGATTTAAATTGATTATGTAGCGACCTAACAAGCACTGTATCTTTAGAAAATATGTAGTAATTGGTGAAAAAAAATTAAACACACCATAATTTCTTAGTTATAATAATTTAATATATGCTTAACAAAAAAAACATAAAAATAAAATATATGAGTAACTTAGTACCACATAGAAAGAATTCATATTAAAGTTAAAACTTAGTATCACATAAAATGAACAATATTAAAACTCAATAGTGAATAATAATACAACTCCATAATATATAACCAAAAAAAAAAAAAAAACTCCATAATAAAATAATAAATAACATTAAACATATGCCTAAATTTATCCTTAGGGAATTTTTTTTATATGGAAATTTATCCTATATAATATTAGCTTGTAGAAATTTTAAAGACCATATAAATATTACACGTTGTAGCTTTATTAACAAACTCATCCACAACATGTTAAATAAGGCTCAGTAGGTGGATGGGAAAGAGAGGGGTTTGAATCCCCTTGTGTGCAAGAGCGCGATTTCTCAACAATTTTCATTTATTTTTCAATTTCATATCGCATATGTTGCCTAAATATTGCATGAGCGAGTAGGAAATTATCGCCTCTGACATTATCGCAATAATATTGACGATATTTAAGTGGATATGTGCTAAAATAGATCCCATTAAAAAAAAAATGATATATTTAAGACTGGCCAAACTCACACTCAAAAACAACCAACAACCTCCAAGGTGATGGAGTCGTTCTATGGTGAGGGTACAATATATGGGTCATAGATGTGGACCTTCATATTAGCCACATGATTCATCCAAATAGTAACTTCACTTAAATTTAATGAAATAATCATATGATTAATATGAAGGTCCACATGAGAAGTCCATATGTGACATCCTCATTACAGAATTTCGCCAAAGGGATGATAGTTGTTGCTTTGCATAATGATAATTGATAATACATTTGCGTGCCATCAATCTAACAAGCTAATCAAACTAATCCATTATATATACTCTCTTTTTGTTCAATCTAATCAAAATAATCCAAGTTTATTTTTCTTGATGATGCAATAATGTTATATGTTTATTAATTAATAATATATATTTATATACAGTCCCCTTCTATTTAGGGATCTGTTAAATAATTTTATTTGAGGGACATCCTTTAAGGTACCCTACGAATTTTTTTTTTCAACGATCCAAACCATCCATTTTTTAAGTCTACATTCATAGATCATCCTTGCAAAAAATTAGACAAATCGGAAATCGTTTCGACATCCAATTGTATCATACAAAATCAATGAACACGGTGCTTCAATAAAGTACTAAAATTTCAATAACACAATGGCTTATTTATGTACATGCCCCCTGTGCTTTCAAACTTGTCTCATATTACCACCTAGGCTTTGAAACGTCTCAAAATACCCCCCACACTTTTAAAAACCGTCTCACGTTACCCATTCCATCAGTATTATAGACGTTCTGTTATGTGCTTTGGACCCCACTTCGTTTTAATCCTTAACATTGGAGAATAAGGGTTTTTTCAGCTTCAGAAAATGGGAAAGGGGGTATTTGGGTGAGAAGGGGAAATTTGGATGGAAAACCAAAAGAAGATGAGAGCAAAGAGAAAGATGATGACTCTGTAGAAGTTGAATATAAGATGTGGGAGAGCTGCAAGATTGAAAAGAAGGAATTCTCGTCGGAGAGGGAACAAGAGTAGGAATCCTTTGAAGAGGAAGTGGACTCAAAGGTTGGGGGTGGTGAGGATTAATGGAGTTACTTCAACCCAAAGCATTGATGATGGCAGAATCTTTCCATCAAAGCAGCAGCAGCAACAGAAGAAGAAGAAGCCTTTACTCTGCAAGTTTGGAAGTCTACTCAAGAAGAAGAGCACAAGCAACTATAAGTAGAGAGACCAGTTTTGCCCAACTTGTGCCCAACTATTTGTTCTTTGTAGTTTGTATCTTCAAGGCGAAGGATTAGGAATTGGGTATAGATTACAAGCTGCAGTAGCAGCAACCCAACCCAAATAGTGATTTCTTCTCATGATTCTCCCGAAATTCGAACCCCACCTCAGATTTTGATAAGCCCTAGCCTTTTTCTCCAAATTTCCCCTTCTCACCCAAATACCCTCTTTCGCCTTTTCTGAAGCTGAAAAAACCCTTATTCTCCAATGTTAAGGATTAAGAAGAAGTGGGGCCCAAAACACGTAATGGAACGTCTATAATACTGACGGAATGGGTAATGTGAGACGGTTTTTAAAAGTGTGGGGGGAATTTTGAGATGTTTCCAAGCACATGTGGTAATCTGAGACAAGTTTGAAAGCGCATGTACATAAATAAGCCTAACACAATTAAGTGGTCAAACGATATTGGATTCAAGTGATTTTTTGTAAAGATGATCTTTGAATGATTATCTAAAATATAAACAGTTTGAATTAGTTAAATCAATGCAAATTGGGTCCTACAATGGTGTCTCTCAAATAAACTAATTTGAGGGATCCCTCAATGGAAGGTCTCTGTGTATGTATAATTTGGTTTCGGGTGCAAATTACAAATTACAATACAAGGGTTTGGATTGGACCTCAATTTGGTGGGTTTGGCGTGGAAATGTTTGGACCCAAACCGAAATCAACCAATGGCCTGGAAATGGAACCCAAGTCAGCTCATGCTGCCTGCCTCCGAACGCGGTCAAGTGTAGAACGAGCCCAGAGTTTTCCAATCAATCAGAGAGAGCAGAGCAGACAGAGGGTATTATTACACAATTACCACCACACGCACGCTCTCGGCTTGGTCCGTTAGTCAGAATCGCAGAGGCAGGCAGAACGATGTCGTTGCAGAACGGCTCGGAGAATCATCACCCTCACCCAGAAGAAGAAAAAGAAAAGGAGAAAGAACAGCAACGGCAGCAGCAATCGGGTGCGTGCAATCAAATTTTGGCAAAATTATTATGTCTTTGATTTGATTTGATGATGATTAGACCAAAAGCCCTGTTGTAACCTGTATAAATAAATAAATAAATAAATATATATATATATATATTGTAGATAGGATGAATGAATATCAATTTGGTTCCATCTATTGTCTGGAATTCACTTGATTACTATGTTATGTTGAATAAAGAAATTAAATTTCAGTTAATCTTATGCACGCTCTTTGCTCTTCCTTCCTAAAATTAAATTTACTGGCGCATTGTTTTGTTCTTCTGAATTTCAGCTCTACTGGTAATCTGATAGAGTACTCTTTCAGTTTCAGAACTATTGTTCCATCATCTCTATCATGTTCGATTTCACTTCTACTTTGCTTATTTACTTCGCCTGGACAGAGCATTTCTTAAATGGGTACCTCACCCACACTACACTTGTCTGGGCCCAAGGAAGAAGCGCATGGCAGTCACTGTCCTCAATTCCCGGTTTGATCACAGGAATATTGCGCCATGACGAAGAACCTCAGTTTTCAAACGCAGGTCAATTGAATGCTTCTCTCTTTTTCTTTTTTCTTTTTTCCTTTTGGGAATTGTGACTACCAGTCCCATGAATTATACAAGGTCTAACAATTTTGTTTCTCTTCTTCTCCAGTGCCCCCTTCTGATGATGACGACGACTTTGAGAAATGGCGGAAGCAGCTTGGTGAAGCAGAAGCAGATAGTGACAGACCTTTGACGCCACCAGAGGGTGAGGAAGAATTCACCGATGACGATGGGACTAAATACAAGTGGGATCGCGGTCTTAGGGCTTGGGTTCCTCAGGTTGGTTCATGGAGATATAATATGCCTTTGCTTTCATTTGTTCATGGTTTCTGCCAAGTTTTAGAGGTTTAGTTAATTTTTTTCAGTGGTTTTGTTAAAGGTTAATTGGAATTGATATACTTAGACACGTTAATTTATTTAAGTCACTTTTAATTCTTATTATGCCTCCAGATTCACAATCCCCTGTGAATATAAATGATTTCCTTTATCGAATCTTGAATCTTAACTCAACTTTAAGACATTCATTTCCATCTACATGTTACATGGGGAATGAATCATTAAATCAGATGGGGGTTATCATGACTGCACCTGCTCTCATGAGCTCTTCCATTAGATGGAATGTGTCAGATACGCATATGACCCAGTGCCCTGGTCAGAGAGTCGGCACAGTTCCTTGGTCAGAATAACTCCTAGCAAAGAGAGGCAAACTCTGACTTTCATACGAGCTTCATTTGACTGAATCTCTTATATCATAATTTGGTGATTTCATTCTTATAATATCTATCAGATGTTTGGATTGTGCAATAGATTTCATGTTACATTCACCAAAACATATGGGTATTTGTAGTTCTAGGCTCAAAGGTAGACAAGTACCCGAAATCCTGGTAAAATGTTCTCTCTTCTTCCAAATTTTATTGGTGTTGGGTTTTGTTTTCTTCCTATTCAAAATACGTTTGTGCACTTCCTATTTAAAATGTTCTCTCTTCTCCGAAAACAAATCTCTCACTTGGAGGGCCATAAGGATGCTTGTGACTCATAAAAATAACAGTATATCTATGGGTTTTTTCCCCTGAGTCTCAAGTCAGATACATTGATAATTGGTAGGCTTTGACTACCATTCAGTTTTTCTTGCCAAAGTTGGTGCTCCACTTTATCTTCCTGGAGGAAGATAGGTGGTGAGATAGTGAAAATAGGCTGAATTGAAATTAACACGAGCAAGAGTAATAAGGATATCCACATTTTGCATCTAAAAGTGACATGCTTCTGTTTTATCTCTTTTCTTTGCTAGTATTTGCTATGTGGTTGAAGTCCTATCTTTATGTAAGTTTGGATATTTACATAATATTTTATGGAGAATAATTTGTTCATTAACCTAGTAAAGGAACACCATAATATGTTAACCTCGCAAGTAAATCAAATTGCTCATGTTTTGGCCCTCAGCCATCATAAGTTGTCTCACTTGTTTTTATTGAATGTATATTTGACTGATTTAATGCCTAATAGGATAGCACGTTTGGGGTAGAAGAGATGACTTTCTTGCAAGAAGAGGAAGTTTTTCCGGCTGTCAATTTTTCTGAGGTCTCTGCAGGGGAAGAGGTTAATGCACCTGGAAACGCTTCTGGTCCCTCTAAAGAGGAAGACGCTAACGGTAGCAGTGAGGTAGAAGAAGGAGATCAAAGTTCTAAGAGAAAATTGTCAGATAAGGAAGCTAACAAGAAGGTTTGCTCCTTTTATATTGTTCTTCTGCTTTTGTTGATGGTGTACCATTTATTGATTAAAGTCTATTATATCAAAGGCTATTGTTCTGATGGACTCTGATTGGATCCTATTAATAGATTAGTTATGCTAGTCTGGGCTTGAAATTTCTGTGTATAGAATTTATGAAGCAGTACTGGTTTACTCCCCTTCTGTCTTGTTTCGTTATATTTTGCAGGAAGCTAATAAACCTCCTGATAGTTGGTTTGAGTTAAAGGTTAATACACATGTTTATGTGACTGGATTGCCGGATGATGTAACGGTTGACGAAGTAAGTCACTGTCATTATTTCATCCTCACTATTTTTGTGGCACAATACTAATTTAGGGATATTTGGCAGGTGGTGGAGGTGTTTACCAAGTGTGGAATTATAAAGGAGGTAGGAATTTGTTACATGTTATAGACAATTTACTTTGCATGCCATGATTTCCCAATATTTGAGTATGGTTATGCTGTGCTATACATTGACAATATAGGTCATTAATTATTATCAATTTTTCCTTCCCGAGATGAGGGATAATAAAATAAACATTTGACTTTTTCTAGAATGGTGAGAACAAATAACTCATCTCATCATGTAGTTCTACTAAGCTTCCTTTTTTGTGTGTGGATACAGTTCATGTTGTTAATTTGTTGAGTACTACTGTTTTCGAAGATGGTTCAATGATGCTTAGAAGTGAGCTCATGATTGAGGAACTTTTTTTATAATGAAAACTTTGAAGATGCATAGTACTTATCAGAGACTGAACTGAAGAAGCTAATACTCCTTTTGTTTCCATAAATTTATCAAATTCTCAGAGTCTTGCTTAGAGTTATTGTTTGATTAATAGGGCTTTAACTAATACAACTGAGTACTGTTTGCCATGGTATACTGCAAAGTGACCTTGTTTTCCCATCATGAGACTGTGTGAAACATTATACTTTGTAATCCTTGTTGCACGTCTCCCACACTCTGTACTATGATATAATAATTATCTTCTCATACTGCGTATCTTATAAACATTCAGGATCCTGAAACAAAAAAGCCACGTGTGAAGCTGTATGTTGACAAAGAGACCGGAAAGAAAAAGGGAGATGCACTTGTTACATATCTGAAGGTAAGAATGTTTTTAATTGCTTTTGCTGTCTCCGTGATTGTAATATGTCATATATGGGTACTTAATTGTGTGTGTGTGTGTGTGTGTGTGTGTACTGTAGGAACCGTCGGTTGTTTTGGCTACCCAAATTTTGGATGGAACACCTCTACGTCCTGGTGGCAAGATTCTTATGTCGGTCACCCAAGCTAAGTTTCAGCAGAAAGGTAACTGTTGGGATCCAGACACTTCATACAAATGAGGGAACTACTTTAGAAACCTTATCTAAACAGTTTTATAAAAATTATAGCATGCCTTAGATTAGAGGCCAGTCGCCCCATCAAATTTAATAAATCAAATTTGCTGATAAACTAATTGTAGATATGGGTGAGATGTTAATGGTCATACACATGTATGTTTTTTCTCTATCAAATAAGGGGCCACGTAATTTACTATTTAAACTTTGGGCCTGGGAGAGGGGTCGTAAGCCCCTTAGCCTACTGAGGGTGCCTGTTAAGGTCTCTGTTTTTTAATTTATGAGCTGCCGTTATGTATGCAGGGGATAAATTTGTTGCCAAACAAGCAGACAACAAGAGGAAAAAGAAACTGAAGAAGGTGGAAGAGAAGATGCTTGGCTGGGGTAGGTTCTTATCTTATACGAGGCTTCTTGAAACAAATATATTTATTTCAGGAATGCAATATCTTATATAATATGCAGTCATGTTGAAATTATCTAATCTTGTTTCCATATGTAGTATGTATAGCTTCTACAGCTAGTTGTCTACAATATAGAGATTTGTCTACATCAATCGTTTTAGATTTCAAATTACCTTTTCTTCTGCTCGAGTTGTGTTCATTGTTTTAATCATAAGGAAATGTATTTGGATCATATGCGCATGCCTACACTTCACAAGTAGTTTCTGGTCGTTTTGGAGTTTTACAGTGAAGAATAGTGTGAATCTATGAATTGTATGTCTGTGGATCATATGCATATGCCATATTCATCACAAGCGGCTGGACATTTTCTATATTTGTTCATATGCAGTGTTTTCTATTTCAATTTTTATTATGGATGACCTTATTTGTTCTGAATAGTGAGATCACATTTTCTCCGTATGGAACAGGTGGCCGTGATGATGCAAAGGTGTCAATTGCCACTACTGTTATTCTTCGTTACATGTTCACTCCTGCTGAAATGAGGGTAGGTTCATATAACTAATTAACGAATTATACATCATTGGAAAACTTGTCTTTTCTCTGCGTAACAAGTCTTAATGGATCAATGTTTTGGTGCTGCTTACTTGCATGCACAACCTTTTCAGTATATGCCTTTTTACTACTTCATGTAGAGCTATTATGGACCTTATTGTCATTATAAATTTTCATGTACTCATATTTTCACAAATGAAATGGATGGTTCCTGTCTGAGCTTCTTATAGAAGGAGAAGGCTGTTTTGCCATTTACTGATCCTTGTCTGGTTGCTGAGTACCTTTCTCTTAATGTTTACAGGCAGATGAAAATTTATGTTCAGAATTAAAGGCAGATGTTGAGGAGGAATGTCTGAAGCTTGGTCCGGTGGACTCGGTGAAGGTAAGATAGCTTCTATGGAAATGTTGGGCATCTCTCTCTCTCTCTCTCTCTCTGTGAGCCTTTATTTAATGTCACAATTCCTATGGAGTTTTGTCTGGGGAGTTTGCAAGGATGTTTGATTTGAAGAATTGTATCCAGAATTTCTTCATGATATATGGGTGTGCATGCATATCTATGTATGTTCTTTGTTCTTTTCCTTTCCTAATTTCCTCAGGTTTCTGTTTTGTTTGTTTGTAGGTTTGCGAGAATCATCCCCAGGGAGTTGTTTTGGTCAGATTTAAGGATAGGAATGATGCTCAAAAGTGCATAGAGTTGATGAATGGAAGATGGTAATTGATATGCTGTGTTTAGTAATTTAAAATTGCTGCTATTGTAAGGTTGGGTCGAAATCACTAACCTACTACCTCACTGAATGGAGCTGCTCAGAACTTATTGCCTTTTTGTTCCAATGTTTTATTGTCTTCCCTTTTTTTTTGTTCTGCATTTGATTATTACTATTCTGTCAATTTAGGTTTGGCGGCAGGCAGATACATGCAAGCGAGGATGATGGTTTAATTAACCATGCTTTGGTCCGTAATCTGGATGATGATACTGCACGGCTAGAGCAGTTTGGCACCGAACTCGAAGCTGAATGAGTTTATATGCTATAATATGTTATTCATACATCTTGATTAGTGCTCCTTGTAAAAAAATTCAGCAGCCGATGATCTTTTTAATTATTACTGTTGGTAGCGACTGTTACGTGGTTTTAAGAATTTGAGCAGGCCATATATGAAGAACCTTTAGTCGGATCTTGTAGGTTGAAATGTTCCTTTAGTGCTTAGAAAAAAGAAGCATTTTTGTAATCGTAAGTAATGTATATCCTGTCTGAGTACTTTGTTAGTAACCTGGATACCCTGTTGGTTGCCAATTTTCGTTGAAATTCTTGTTTCATTGTTCGGGTTCTATCTACCTCCCTCATGCACCGAAGCCCTAGATCGCCAGCCTTCAGAACGGGACCTAAGAGCAATTCCAGCAGCAAGGCTGGGGCGCGGGGTGGGGGGTGGTTTGGGCCAAAAAAGTGATTCCAGCAACAGAGGCTAGCCTGGGCAAAATGTGGACCCCAGCAAACTGGGCTGGCCCTCGGGGGAGGTTGGCTTGACTTGGAGCCCGAGGTTTGGATGACATCAGTGTGCTACAGTGCTGCTCATAGCCAGCAGCCACGTGGTGTCGTCTGGGCTCTCCGATTGGATTTTTTCCTCCAATTCAACGGCAGCGAATTTTTGTGCAATAAAATAATGAAAAAAATGTGAATTTTTTTTTATAAAAAAACCCAAAAATTAATGATTTTTTTTTTCTTCTATAAATACCAACTAATACTCTTCACTTTGAACACCAAATCCTCATACATTTTCGTCTCCTTCAACTATTATTCACTTTCGTTGACAAAAAAAAAACTATTATTCACTTTTTATTTAATATTTTTTTCACTTTCAAGTTTTATTTTTCCGAAATCTTATTCGAAAGTTTTTTCCGATTATGAGATATGAATTTAATAATAAAGATTGACACGTACGAACCCAAAAATTTAATCCGAAAATATTATCCAAATTATTTATTTAAGTAAAAAAATATGTGAAAAAAACAAAAAAAAATGAATACTATTTGCCCTTTGCTATGGCAATTGGTGGAAACACACATTGCTTTTTGTAAGGGCAGTCACTATTCATGTGAATAGTGGTTGCCCTAGCTCCCCCTTGCCATGGCAAAGGGCAAACTACTGGAAGTACTCTAAAACTTTCCTTTTAAAGCCTTGGGTGCGGTACGGGAACATCAAATTAAATGGTATTAATGTTTGTTGTTTTTTCTCTTTATACAAAGCGATATTGGAGAGAGGGACAATCAAATCTAGGATGCAAGGGTAAATGTTTTTTTTTCTCTTTATACAAAGCGATATGGGAGAGAGGGACAATCAAATCTAGGATGCAAGGGTAAATGTTTTTAACTAATTGAGTTACAACTTGATTGTTTGTCTACATTGCAACTTTCAATTAAAGAAAAAAAACATTTAAGTCTAGGCTGGGTTGGCTGTATTCTACAGGCCCCTCCACATAAATACTTGTCCCAAACTTATAGGATTTAATTGTTCGGGCTTTGTGCCTTTATGTGGGCATTGTGCCTTTGGTGGGTTTTATGAATGTAGTCTTTTTTATTAGTATTTTTGTGTGACAAAGTTAGGAACAGGGACTCGGGGAGTGAAGAAACTTATACACACAGATATTGTGGGGGCTTGAACTCATGAGACCACTTGGGAGCACCCCAAAAATATGGGACAATCCAACTGACACACTCATTGGTTTTATGAATGTAGTTGGCTCTATTCCTTTTTGTGTTGCATTTAATTGAACTCATATTTTGAGTTCACTTTTGTGTAATTGGCTTTGGCCTTTTAATTAAAGAAACTTGATCCTGACAAAATAAAATAAAATTGAGTAATGATTTAATTGTTCTCTTGGGCATTTACTCGGGCAATGATGAAAATAGAAAGAGGACAAATGAATGCATTTTAAATTTTACTTTCTCCGTTTGAAATAAACTATTTTGGAAATTTAGTGTTTTTTAGTTTTATTTGTAATTTTCAAAATACATTTATTTTTTTTCAATTCAACTTGTTATAGTTTTAGTATTTTAAAATGATATAGTTTTTTTTTTTTGGTTCATGTGATTGATAACTTAGTCTATAATTGATTGCAGATGGAGTAACTTAACACCGTGTTTGGTGACTAGGATTGGATTGGACTATTTTAATTAAAATTGACAAGAATCCTAGTTGTTGTTTGGTGCGCTGGGATTGAACTTGTTAAAATGAATAAGAGTCCAACATATTGTGTTTTACAAGTCCCACATAGAGGGATGAAACTCATAAGGACTCGCTTGAACTCAACTCCAGTCCAATCCAAACCGGACCACAAAAGGTACTACCATACTAGGGATGAAAGACATTTCACCTATAAACAAATTGTATTGATACATCAAAAAATTTCCATTAATGAAAGATGTAAATCCATTGGAAAATCAAAAATACGCATGTATGATAAATTGATAAGTCGAGCATTCCCAACCCACCAAGTGAAACCAATGGTTTCGATGGGGCCCACTAAGAAACGCCATCCCATTTAACTCCTACAATTAAATTACTTGGCCAACAACCCACGAAAAGAGATGATTTTTCCTCAACGACGAGGAACATGTATTAAGGTGTACATGCGACTCGACGAGAAGGAAGAGCTCTTCTTAAAGTGGGTTTTTATGATCGGATAAAGAATATAAAATAAATAAATCAATCAAATCTGGAAGATTTGAGTGGGGTTGCTAGACCTAGAAATTTGATTACGTAGTTTTTTTTTTTTGCTTCTGAGCTTCGGCTCCCTTAGGCCATCTCCAATAGTGGAAAGGGCCAAATGTCAAATTTTGGCAATATAGTCTGGATGGAGCCCCCAGCGCATGTACAGGGCCATGCAAAATATCAATCCAGTCAATATCTTGGGTGGAATAGCAGTACACGTTTTTCCTGGATTGAAATTTGGTGGAGCCCACTCACACAACCCACTTCCCTATGTGCAAAGTTAATTTTGTGGACCTATTAGAGTTAAACTATTTTAAAACTATTTAATAAAGTTACAAACTCAAATTTTGAGTTCGGAGGGTTGGGGAAAAAAAACAGTTTGAATCTGGGCAAAACATGAATAGTTGTATTTTGAAGGGTGAAAATTTTGGTTTAGCCCCTTTAGCGTTGGATGGATATGGTCTTAAGCCATCTCCAACCAATGAGGCCAAACCTAAAATATCCCAAATTTTAGCCCATTTCCTCTCCCAACTCAAGAAAATCAATGGGCCAAACTTTAATCCAAATACCAATCAAGCTATTGCTTGGACTGGATTTTTTTTTTGGTGGAGCCCACGTAGGATGACGTAGCCCATGTGCAGTTGCAGACTTTGTCACGCACTTATGATGTCCAACGGCAACAATTCAAACATCCCTTATATATATTCCAATAGTAACCCAAATCAATGATTTAGATTAAATCCATACTATTTTAACGATAAAAAAAAAATCCAACGGTTGAAATTTAAATCCAACAGTCAAAATAATATTTTAAATTAATATAAATCAAATCCAACCCCAAAACTCACTCCAAACTCTATAAATACCCACTCATTTCTCAAATAATCCATCAAAATTTATATTTTTGGAATTTCAATTTTTAAAGGTTAAATTGTTCAAAAAAAATTAATTATGAAGTTATTTAAAAAGATTAAATGAAGAAAAGTTATTCATTTAAAAAAAATTAGACTTAAATAATTCTTAAACAATTTAATAAAGTTGCGGACTTAAAATTTGAGTTTGAAGGGTTGGGGGAAAAAACGGTTTGAGTCTAGGCAAATCCCAAATAGTTACTTTTTGGAGGGGGAAAATTTGGGTTCAGCCCCAAATGGGTTGGAGAAGGCCTTAGAACAAAACAAAAAAGTAAAAAGAATCAAATCTGTGAGTCGCCTAAAAATGAGGGGAGGAAAGTGAAACTTGAGTGAAAATATAGGGAGAAAAATAATTAAGCCTTTTTTTTAATGTAAAATAATAATAATAAGGGTTTTTAACTGTAAAGGTCCCTGAACTTTACCTTGAGTTGTGATTGGGTCCCCGAACTTTTTTTTGAGACAATTAGGTTATCCAACTTTCTCATCCGTTTCAATTGAGTCCTTCCGTCAATTTGGTTGTTAATTTGAGGGCTAAAACCGTCCATTTTAATTAAAATATTTAAAAATTTAAAAATTAAAGGAAAAAAACTGAAAAAGTGAAAGAAAAAAAATATTAAATTAAAATAATAAATAAATAAACTTAAAAATAAAAAATCCAAATCCAAATCCCTCTCTCTCTCTTTCGCTCTGTCTCTCCTTCTCTCCCGCAAACCATTCCCCCTCCTCCTTATCCCACCACCTCAAAACCCAGATCCCAACCCAACCTGCAACCCACCCCCCATCTCCCAACTCGCAAAACCCACCCACAACCCCACCCCACCCCAAGATGCAAAGTGTTCGAATTTTTTTTTTCTTTTTCAATTTTTGAATTTGCACAGAGAGAGAGAGAGAGAGAGAGAGGATTTGGAAGGGTCTCAGGTGAGGCTAGGGTGGATCTCGAGTGGGGACGAGGGTGGTAGTACAGTGGCGTTAGGTTGGGGGTTTCTGAGTTTTGGGGTCACTGAAGGCTTTCTCTCTCGAAGTAGGGGTAGTGGCGGGTGTGGCTGCCTTTTTGGAAGAGAGATTCTTAAGGGAGCTTATCCTTCTATCTATTACTCTTACTCCACAACAGTAGAAGAGAAAAGAATCTTAAATTTGTTCTAGTCCTTTTAATTACTTACTCTTAAGTAAACCTTCTCTTTTTCCATTTCGCCTTTTCTTTATGGATTTGTATTGTAAACTTGTGAAGATGGAGGTGGGGTTGTTGAGGTTGATGACGGATGAAGAAGGTGGAGTTGGGGTCAACGATGTATGAAGAACCCAAAAGGACCTTTTTACCCCCTCATTTTGACGGATAAATTGACAGAGTTAGACTGGAGGACTCAATTGGAACAATTTGTCGAGTTAACGAATGTAATTGTCTCAAAAAAAAAGTTCGGAGACCCAATTGCAACTCGAGACAAAGTTCAGGGACGTCTACAATTAAAAACCCTAAGTCCTAAGAATTAAGCCTTTCTTTTATCAAAAACCTGTCAAATACCTGTCAAATTTAAATTAGGTTTTTTGATCTCTCACTCTCACTCTTTGAGTTACACATAAACCACACTGAGAGCTCCCCATAGCCGAGAGAAAGATGTGGAGGTCTGTTGTGACAGCAAGAGCTTCTCTTTCAACACAGGCGGCACAGAAGTTGTGTGCAACTCGAAACCATAAGGTGCTTTCCTCTAAAACCCTAACACTAATTGATCAATCTCCTCATTTTTCGACCAGATCCTCTTTTTGCCACCCAATTGCAACTCGAGACAAAGTTCAGGGACGTCTACAATTAAAAACCCTAAGTCCTAAGAATTAAGCCTTTCTTTTATCAAAAACCTGTCAAATACCTGTCAAATTTAAATTAGGTTTTTTGATCTCTCACTCTCACTCTTTGAGTTACACATAAACCACACTGAGAGCTCCCCATAGCCGAGAGAAAGATGTGGAGGTCTGTTGTGACAGCAAGAGCTTCTCTTTCAACACAGGCGGCACAGAAGTTGTGTGCAACTCGAAACCATAAGGTGCTTTCCTCTAAAACCCTAACACTAATTGATCAATCTCCTCATTTTTCGACCAGATCCTCTTTTTGCCAAACCCTTAGGTTCCTTTCTCAGATCTCAGAAAACCCTAATGATTCTGATTCAGCTGAAGGACAACAGCTATCAGTGGAGTTTGGTGAAAATGGTGATACACAGAGGGAAAATCTTACCCCTGGGAATGGGCCTGTTGGAGAGGAAAAGGGTGATACTCAGATGAACATTTTTTCCCCTTCTGATGTAGAGTTGGGGGAAGTGGAAGAGGTTTATGAGATTGATTTGGAGCAGTTGGAGAGTTTATTGTCTCTTCTTCAGAGCAGCGCTGATGGGTGTCTTGAGTCTAGTTTTGATGGTTTAAATTTGAGTTTACATCCAGAGTTTGTGATTAAAGTAGTTGAAACCCCACTTGTTTTGGGTGAGAATTTGATTAGGTTTTTCAAGTGGGCGTTGAAGGAGAAACCCGAGTTTGGTGTCACTACGCAAATACTGGATGCACTTGTTCGAGCGACATGTAGTGGCCTCGTTAGGAAGAGAGATGTGTATTCTTTGTGGGATTTAGTTAAGGAGGTTGGTGAGAAGGAGAGCAGTGTGATGCATGTGCAAATTCTCAATGAATTGATATCTTCATTCTCAAAATTGGGTAAAGGGAAAGCTGCTTTGGAGGTGTTCAACAAGTTTGGTGATTTTGGATGTGTCCCAAATGCAGATACATATTACTTTACAATTGAAGCACTGTGCAGGCGTTCAATTTTTGGTTGGGCTCAGTCTGTTTGTGAGAAGATGCTTGATGCGGGAATCTTGCCTGATGGTGAGAAAGTTGGTAGGATCATATCCTGGTATTGCAAGGGTAAAAAAGCTAAAGATGCCCATGTGGTTTATTCCTCGGCAGCGAATGTGAAGAAGCAGTACCTGCCTCCCGCTTCGGTTTATTTTTTGATCAGTTCACTCTGTAGGGAGGCTGAAACCGTTAAATTAGCTCTAGATATGTTAGATGATTTTGCTGTTGAAGCACGGAAATATGCGATTAAGCCCTTTTCAGCTGTTGTTCGAGGTTTGTGTAGGATAAAAGATGTTGATGGGGCCAAAAAATTGCTTCTTGAGATGACAATAAAGGGCCCACCTCCAGGAAATGCAGTTTTCAATATGGTAATCAATGGCTATTGTAAGGCTGGGGATATGGGAGAAGCAATTGAGATGATGAAAAATTAGCTCTAGATATGTTAGATGATTTTGCTGTTGAAGCACGGAAATATGCGATGAAGCCATTTTCAGCTGTTGTTCGAGGTTTGTGTAGGATAAAGGATGTTGATGGGGCCAAAAAATTGCTTCTTGAGATGACAATGAAGGGCCCATCTCCAGGAAATGCAGTTTTCAATATGGTAATCAATGGCTATTGTAAGGCTGGGGATATGGGAGAAGCAATTGAGATGATGAATCTAATGAAGAGTAGGGGTTTGAAACCAGATGTGTATACTTACACTGTTATCACGAGTGGTTATACAAATGGAGGTCAGATGGAGGAGGCTTGTAAAATATTATCCGAAGCCAAAAACAAGCACCCCAAATTGAGTCCTGTGACTTACCATACACTCATCCGTGGGTATTGCAAACTGGAAGAGTTTGATAAGGGTTTAAAGTTGTTGCGCGAGATGAAAGATTCTGGGGTCCAAC